TACAGCTACTCTATGAATCTTTATTGGTATGAGCTTTATTCGTAGATAGATGGAAAGTAGCATACCCACAATTTATCATAGAATTAATTTTTACAGCCTCGTTATAAATTAAGACGCATATTTAAATTTATTTTCTCTAACATCTAATCTTGAGAATTAATTTGTTTAGCTTCTTAGTAAAAGCTTCTTGGTAATTTTTTTAGCTTCTTAGTAAAACAGTCAACGTATTAACGTTCATTTATTCGAAAATGGAGCTTCATACGAAAAGATGTCACTGTACATTTTCGTTTCATTTTTTCGGGTAGATTCACACATTTTTGGCTTGAAACATCAGTTTGATAATATGTACTCTATAATGACAGTTTTAACAGCTATCCATATTTTTTCTATTATCTATCCTATTCGCAGTTTGAATTGCATTTGGATATGATATATCATATCCATACATATTTATAAAGTTGTATGAATGTATGTATGTAAAAATATATATTTTATTTTGCACGTATCATTGTACACAAAAGGATATAACATTACGGACTTTTTTCTTATATATTTCTTGGAACATTCGATAATTGTATTATACCAAACATAATCTTATCACAACGCATTACACATTGTAATCCACATATGTCATTTTATAAATCATATTTTTCTACGTTAACGAATCACTCTTTAGTTGCGAATGTTCCCCTTCAATTTTTTCGAATGTTCGGTTTTGTAAATTTTTAATTTATATTAAAACATACTAAAGAAGATGCTATAGAAAGAATTGAAAACGTTGTAGTATATTTGCTTACGAAGACTATTGCATTTCAAGCGTATTTATATCTAGTAAGCACGCATATCGAACCCTATCGCAACGTTTCTCAAACTGGGGGCAGAAAAAAGGAAGCAAATATTATAACGAGAAATAAGAAAACATTACTTTGCATAATATTTTATCTTTATTCTGGAAAACTTTTAATGTAGAGTATTACAAAGTCACCATTTCCTTATGAATTTTTTGCTCAAATACTATCGATTATAACTTTCATAATATTCGTATATTTATCTATGAACACTTCAAGAATTAATTCTTTTTTCACAAAAATATATTAATTCGTTGCACAAGTGTGTTTATAAAATATCACTTCCCCGTGGACACCATCAATAAGGAAAAATATTTAACACAACCCTTAAAGTAGAGTTATATTCTTATTTTAGTAACATAATTACAAAACTTTTTACCAACGACATCTCTCAATTTTTTAATTTTAATTCCATAAAAAGTAGTAAAAAGTAGTAAATTTTGTATTTATAATGCGATAGTTCTACTTGGAACCTAAATAATAAGAATTGTTTTAATACTATTCAATAAAAAAAATTTATTCTTATACAGTAATAAATAAATTTTAAGATGACCCATGCAAGCCTGCTAATTTTTTCACATTTACTTTTGTACATTCTTTTAACGAATAGCGTATAAAAGATTAAGTAACTGTTTAAATTGAATAAAAATATTTAAAATATAGACAGTTTTTTTAAATAATTTCAAATTATATTTAAAAAAAATTAAAATATAATACTACTCTTGGGGGTTCATAAACCATTATTCTGTATCGAGGTAAAGTTTGAGAAACCCTGTTCTATCATATTATTCACAGTCTCGAGTGCGAACGCAAGCATTTTAGAAATCCAACCGAACAGATCGAGGCAGAAAATACTAAAAAACGACGTAGAACTTCGTTATCTGATTCGAGGCAGAACCAAGGCGAGCCGTCGTTGGAATCAGCCATCTAATTCCGTAGAATTTGCATGTCAATCTGGAAAAGTTCGTGACCGGCAATTATCCCGTGCTAATTGGCACTGAACGCGCCTCGAAAATTGAGGGTTCTGCCGAGAGGAAGATGGGACGTGCAACCTCCATGAAAACGAACGATTCGATCGCGCGCGAGATTCCTGTTTTCCGCCTGTGAAACTATAGCGAACAACCATTAGCGTACAAGTTCCAACTTCCTGGTTCCCAAATGCACGACACTCTCTTCTGAATCCATTTCAATAATAACATTGGTAGTTCTAGAATCTTCATTTCAACTTTGATCCTCTTCGGATAGACTATCTTATTAGATAATAATAATAACGCCTTTGTTACGCAATTAGCGTAGATGAAAGAAAATAGTTTAAACGACGATATACCAGAGTTGAGTACATTTTATTTTCGAACAATGAATACAAAGTTTAGATTCGATCGTATGTTAACTCTTTTGTTGATTTAATTAATTTTTTTTTTAATCAATACTTTTGGGGGGTTTCAGGTGGATAAATAAGATTTTATAGCTTTATATACAGCTGTAGTTAAAAAAGAAGTAATTTTTATGCCAAATTTAAAGTCACTCTTGGAAACTTTAGAATCAGCTAATAAGAATTTAAAAATTCAGTTATTTAACGTAACTTAATTAAAAAATAAAATAGTATACGCTTCAATTTCATTTGTTGCTTACTGGTATCGACACCATATAATGAGCCTGACTTTCATGCAATAATCGAGGTTCTACTGTAACGAATAAATGAAACCAATAGTAAAATTTGTACTTGTTTATTGTGAAGCGCTATCTATGCGCTTGACATTTTCTATTTATATTCTAATTATCTCACGCGCGTCCATGACGTTCATGCAAAAGCTGTAACTGCTTGATCTCGAAAATGAAGTCTCAGATTGCAAAATGATAAAATATTTTAGGAATTTGTTTCGTCTCGTTAAAACCCCCTCTATTCATATGACACTTTTTAAAATCCAGTTTCATGATTAAAACAATTTCCATGTTTCTGTAGCTAGCTACACAAGAGGATAGTAAAAATATCTTAACGTTTGGATAAGCTTTGATGTATGTATAGTCACGAGTCTCGATTCCTGTCTTGTCATTGGCAAATACGTACTCGTTACGGAATAAGACTTAAACCACGATAACGTCGATGTATTTCGGGGCTTACGCGTACTTACAATAAGCATTTTCCGTTCCGCCGGAGAATCCCACGACTAAAACACACACGTATCTGATCGATGGAATCGGCGAAATAATCTCGAGCATCCTCCCCGGGAAACACAAACAAAGTGTAATTAATCGATAGGATCGCGTTCAATCCAAGAAAGGCGTCGGACCTGACGAACAAGGAGCTTCTCCGGGAGATCGACGATGCAGGAAGCGGTTTTGAAAGGGGCAAAGTTTAAGGAAACCGAGAAGGACTCTCCCTTTGGTCCTTGCAACGCGATCGTTTTCACGGTTGCAGAAGCACCAGACGTTGCGTAAACGTTCGGCAACGTGCACTTAGTATTCCCGGTGAAAAAATAAAGAGATTACTAGGTCAGAACTGTCAAGCACGTTTCCTGTCATCGTGGCTCGTAACTGACAGCACTTTCGCGCGCAAGGGGACTGTCAAAAATACAATTGAACGGGCCTTTTTTCTTAACATTTCATCACGGAGATTCATACGTTTCGACACACCGTAATTCTTTCATTCTACCTTACTTGCAAACGAGCAGAAATTTTATTCTCTTACGTAATCCTGTTATTAGTATTTTTCTGTTAAATGCAAACGTGAACACTCACTTTGTAAAACGAATTTAATACTGTATTCGAAAATTATATTTATTATTTGGTAATCGTACAGACAAAGTCAACGTGCCTGATAGGAAGAGTCACCAGATATTCGACTTTCTCGTGAAAAATTAACCTCTTCAGGGGTATTGGCGCGTTCGTGTAGTTTTTGAATTACTTGAAATATTTTAATTGTGAATAAACTTTCATAATGTAAGCGACAACATCGTCGTTAGATTATTAGAATAAAAATACTTGTAAAACCAGAAATATACAAATTGTTACGTGATTCGCAAGTGAATAACTGAAATCATATATATCTGCTTAATTTATCCTTCGAAAATATACTTTATGATTTTTCAAATTCAAGTTGGCATACAATGTCTTAAATCAATACTACTTGGGACTTTTAATCCCAAAGGGAGAAAAATATTAGGGTACAATTGTAGTTATAATTGTAAAATATATAAAATGAAGCACGTGAACATGAATCTGATTGTTTCATCTAACATAAAGTATGAAAAAAGAGAGAAAAAAATCACCAGTTTCTTTAAGAAAAATGTTTGTATCGATTAAATTTCTCAAGCACATCGTTATTTGTATAATTCTAGTAAATACTCATGTGTTCGTAGAATGTTTAGACTTGTCTTCTCCAAGTGTGGTGTAAAGTTATCGTGGGTCAATAAATCTATACACGATTAAGATTCATTAAAAACACTTTCCCTTTGCTAATTACTGATCAATTGATGCTACAGTCACAGTATGTCTTCCTGGAAGCGTTTAAGGATTAATTCTGTTTACAAATGATAAATTTTAGTTTTTAGACCATCTTAGCTACTTTTACCCTATACAGTAATAATTCTTAAAATGAACCCACGTGTGATTCATAAGTAGTATATTTTTATCCCTCTCAACCGAAGGGATCCCCATTAGAGCTTAGTGAAACATGAAAGACTACATTCAAAACACACTGTACGAAAAATGAACATGCCAACCCCGAAGCGATGTTCATTTTAAGAATCATTACTGTTCAGATTACTGTGTTTGTAAAGAGTCGTTTAGAGATTCTCGGTGCAAATAGACGAAACGATTTCCAATCGGTCATCCTGTGACAAACCTTTCCGGCGGTAGCGATGACAAGATGAGAGGCGCATGGAAAAGTTGCAACCCTGGTTCAAGTACGATCAAGTTACGAGTGTTTTCACGGGTGTAAGAGCACGAAGGGATTGCGTAAGAGAAGAATCTGCGGCATCGCAGGAGATCCCTCCTCCACCTTCCTGGGATCTTCTCTTTCTACGTTCGTCCGGTGTGGGAGCCCCGGGAAAGAGGGGCTCTCAAGAACCCCCCCTTGTTCCTGGTCGATCTCTAAAGCCATATATATACACCACCACTTCGTGGTAGCATCCTTCGAGAAAGAAACTTTGCCGGTAACACCGCGAAGACTGAAACTTGTGTAGGCGGAGGTCCAGCGAATCAGGGGGCCCGGTGAGTGCATTGTGCGATCGACGAACAAGGATCACCCGGAGATAAATGAACACCACGAGGAAGGATACTGCGGATTAAGGTGATTGGATTTTTCTACGAAAAGGTAAGTCAAGTCTTCCGTAGTTAGGAAAGAAAAGAAAAAAAATTTTTTTAAATCCTGTTTCGCGTCAGAAAGATCGTTCTTTTTCGCTTGGATTCGAAGAAAATAGTGCTTTTCTTCGGTGTCTTCGAATTTATTAATCGTTGTACTTTTTCTATTTCTCAGATGATTTCACGGTATCATATTCTGTGCGCGATCCTGCTGTACGGCGCGGTTTTGTTGTACCAAGCGATGGCGGTAAGTAGATCGAGCTGCGGGCGTTCGTGCTCTAGGAAACAAAATCTCGGTTCAAAAGTCGAACGATGTTGCGTAACACGCGACACCTGTTCAGAGAAGGGAGGGTGTACCTATCATCTCGCGAACACAATGCCTTTACGAAACCCGTGCTGAATTCAACCGCGAAATTATTATATTCATCGCAGTTTCTCACGTGCAACAATGACAGAGGGAGGACGGCTATCTTCTCGTGTCATCTTCTTCAGCTGGCAGCGTGAAGTAATTCATTAATTAACCCCTGTTGCGCGAGCGTGCTTTCTCGTCGCGGGATTCGCGCTTCCTTGGACAAAGTCGTTCAACGAGCGTTCCCTGAAATTCAGCTGTCTTCCGTTTGAAATTGCTGCCCCCCAGGGCCGACGCGATTGCGCGAGAACCGTGTTCGATTCCAGGAATTACGAAACACCCCGGGTAATTCGAGACCGCCTCTGTTTGTTTGAAACTTTATCCACAGGCAATCGTGCGACCGTCGAGCCGCGAGCGTATTCATTTTCACCGGAAACAATGACCGTGAACGCGTATCGAAACGGAAGGGCGGGATGAAAGGAAACCGAATTTTCAATGCCGCCGTGGCAACGGACAGAGAAATGAAAATGATTAATTAATCCGAGGATCGTTATCGCGGTTAACATTCACGGTACGTGCTTCTAGATTCTCCTTTAATCCTGTAATAAAATCAACGTATTGCTGTCGCAATTCGTACGACCCCATCATCCACAAGTTTCGATACTTTGCTAATCGAAATAAAATTACGCTTCTCGCTTGCAAAGTAAAAAATTAAATTCGAAAGGCACGTACATTATTATTTGGAATAATAAACGGTTTGAATATTGCTTTGAATCTTCTTCGGTGTAAAAAATTATAACCTACAAGTAACAGTGAGCCATAGAAAACTTCGGCCATCTTGGTTGTGGGAGACGCCATTAAAAGAATGAGGAATTTCGATGGTATTTCAAACTCATTATATAATGTAAATAATGCAATTGCAACGAGCGTGTGTAATGTATAATGCAAATATTATTTTTTTTTAAGCTGGAAATTTTACAGTTATTATTATTCATTTATTAACGGGAATAAACCCTTTAATATAAAAAATGTAATATGTAAGGAACTATAAATGTGGATTTTACATAATCAAATATTATCGCTTATTAAATTTTAACAATATAAATTAATTAACAATACGTTGCAAGGATAATTTTAGACTTTCTAATGATTGTTCAATTAAATCAGTTTTAGTGTATACAACATTTGCATGACTAATCATTCTGGCAATGATTATGGCAATAATATCTTCATTGAGTATAACAAATATTATAATAATATATTATGTTAGAAGAATATAATTATATACAAAAACAAAATTTATTAGAGCAAATGTAATTATATATTTAGTGAGACATTCAGGTTTCCAAAATCTTTTACTTTTTCAAAATTTTTAGAGATAGAAATGTTGTTACATCTCTGAAGTTTCACTTTATAAATGTTAATTTTGATTTGTTCGCATTTACTTTGTACTGCCAAATATTGGTACTTTCTTCTGCTAGCAAGTTCTACTATTCGCGAGAGAAATTCTAAAGACAGTGAAATTCTAAAGTGACATAAAATTGTAATAAGAAAGTGTCTAAATTTGTGTTAAAGCTCATTGGTTTTAAATTCAATTAATTCTATTTGTAACTCCCTTTGACTCTGAGAAATATATGCATTTAATGGATTTCAAAACAGCATAAAATTTAAACACAGAATTAGTACTAAAGATCAGTGGTTAATTAAATTGTTTGTGGAACTTTTAATGAAAATTCCTAAACCCAACATTTTCAAATTCGTCGCAGAATTCATATCTACATAAAAATTTCAAGTATGGGACGAAAGGTAAAATGTTTATCCGTAACTAGTTGAATAAAAATGAAAATTTAATTGATTGAATGAAATATTTCATAAGGAATAAATAAAAACTGATAATGAGGTTTGCTTATTTGTAGGTAAACAAATAAAACACTAATAACTATACAAGCAATTGTTTAACTTATTAATTACGTTAAACTTTTCTACTTTTATTTGGAATATGTTTGATAACATAAAATTAGTATAAATATCTATAAAAGCATTGAAGTTTTGAAAAACGATTTAAATATTTTTTTAAGAGGCACTTATAGCTGTCAATAATTTAAATTAACGCTTCGTCTCTAATTATCTCCATCTTCCAACGACTTTACTAAAACCAGTTACTATACTAAAGCCACGTCGCGTTTTTTAGAGACAAACAATGAGACAACCCTTCGATTGACACGTTATATACACTTGTGTTGCACTCAGACAAAAGTAGTATATTTTCGTTAATATTTCAAATTTTAACGTTTGACAATGTGTAACACATTCTTACAACTTCGAACTCTCAAAAAATGAGTATAAAGATTATATAGCTATCTATCTATTTTAGCTAAGAAAAGCCAGAGATGAGAAAATACCTAATGAGAACATTAAGTTCATCAAGGACAATACTAGTTAATGTAGAGACTGTCAATATTTTAAACTTAGAATTACGTAAATCTAATTTTATACGATTGGTGTGATTCAAAAGTTTTTGTAAATGTTTTACAAAATTCGTGCATAATTTTATTTAAAAAAAATTAATATTATTTAAACGGTTTTGTTTGTTACGTACGAATTTATTAATTGTTTTCTCAAATCTAACCTTCAGTTATATATCTATTTAAATCAATTTTATGTTGCCAAAAATGACCACAACAAAATAAGAAATGTTTATCGTAATGAATAAATTAGTCTACTTGGAGCTATGGAATTTCGTACAGACGAATATTTCAGATAACATTACAGCATTATGGAAAACTTAGGCATATTTTACCTTTTCTAATATTCTACAAATATTAGTATTTTATTGTATGTATGTTATAGCAGAGCAACGGTTTATCTTTGTATGTTCTCCAGTGACAGCCAATTTTTAGTCTAAAATAAAATTAAGACTTTGCTTTCTTCTAGTGAAAGTAAAAAGATCGTTGCATCATACTGCATTAAACTTGAAATAAAAAATAAAAATAGAATATATTCAATAAGGTATAACACAAAATAGTTCTATGGTATCTATCTTACTTAATTCCATCATTTACCATGTAATTTAAAAAAGCAATGAAATTGTCAATACTTTCAAGAATGACTAATTGAAACGCATATAGCTGTGCTATAAATGAATACGGAAAAAACTAATCATGAGTAACAGCTTAAGTGTTCTATTAACAAGTTCACTGTCAGATGAAAATCGTGTAATATTCTGCAAAACAAAAATTTTGATTTTTGACCATTGGTAACCTATATAGCAATTTTAGCTGAAACATTGCTGTTTGGTAATATATTTGCCAAATTAGTATTCCATGCTTATACCCTCATTTTGTCAGGAACAATGCAACTAACAATTCTCTTAACACATTCACTGCCAGATCAAAATCATAGAATATTTTGCGGGACTAAAATTTGATTTTAATAACCTAAAATCTCTTTCAATACTTAGCTTAATAACATTGCTAAAATTTACAAATCCCATCCAGATTTATTTCCTGCAACATTTCAAATTGAGATTTAATTTCTCTAGTACCAAATTCTGTGATCCATATATGAGTGACGTGGCAATCAAAGTGTTAAATACCCAGTGTTGATTTTTTTCTTAACACTATTTCTACTACGATTTTGTGTATACCTATTTCGACCAAAAGGTGTCTTCTGACACTTTTGCGTTTGAATACAAATAATTTCCAAAACTGTCGGGTTTTTAAATTATCAGTTAAATATAGATAATTTGAGCAACAAATATTTATATATTTATTGATACATTGATTCGTATTTATCAGAGATTAAACTTGGTCCTACGACGCTGGACTTTGAAAATTTTACGCTTCAATCAACGGAGTGATCGGTCGCGACTCTATCGCGATTATTTTGAAAACTTACACGACGACCTATATTTTTAACTACAGCGTTGTGTTCTCCTGGTTTTAATCAGGTTGTAAATTCTAGCTTAACCAGGATATTTGTTTGAAATGACTTTTTTCCCGCGTTTAAAGCCAGATATAGCACTATGTATGTATAAAACTCTATATCTACTATGTTTACTATATCTGTATAAAGATATTAGTACATTATACGACTAAAATGGGCATCCCTGTTGGATAGATCTTCGAAGGAATCCCTGACCTATCCGAATCTCGCGCGCAGTGAGTTCGTCGATCGCGGCCGTGGCTTCTTAACCGAGCGTCGAAATCACCGGTCGCGTCGAGAGGGTGGAGACCGTGTTTTGCGGTTGCGCGCGTACCGCTGTACGAGAAATCGAATACAAAGGCACGGAGATGCGCATCCGCTCGCGGGGAACAATGTAACCCGACTTCCGGTCAGACATCGGCACGTGCACGCACTGGACTGGCTCGATCCGGCGTTTCGTGTGTCGCAACGGCCTCCTTTTTTCCTCTCATCTCGACCGATAGCCAATTGCGAAAAAGATCTCGCGCAGAGATCCCCTTCGACCGCGGTCTAGACGTTCTTTAAGAGCTGCTCGGATCATTAACCGCCATTCGCGAAGGAGGGCTTCCTCGTGAACTCTTGAACCCCTCCCGAACCCTTTGTTCCTCGCACCGGAAACGGCTGCGTTCGCGTATCACGCAATCGCGACAAAATCGTCGACTCTACTGTGCAAGTTTACCTTCTCTCGAAAAGTTGAACTATTTATAATAAAAAAAAAAGGATCGTGGTAACGAAGCTAATACGAAAAGGAATTCTTGCTTGATCCACATTCCATTGTGAATACATGACGAAAGCTGTCGACACTATTTCGACAGAGTCGCGGGGCAATCGCCGCAGCGTAAATGCTCTTCTTAATTGCGTGTTTCGATTAACCGCCTTTGTTCCGAGGGAAACCGGGATACAACTATTGCGAGTCTTCGTGTATTTGCATTTAAATTAATGGTAATTGGGATATGAGCAGGCGTTGCTAAAAATTTGAAACAACTCGAACTTTTAACTGACGTTTCAGCAAGTTGATGGTTACACGCCTGGCGTGGACTACCCGATCTACGATTCCGTGCCTTTCGGTCTGACGTTTACCTGCGGAGGCAAGCTACCTGGCTACTATGCCGACCCTGAAGCCAGATGTCAGGTAAATTCACACTCCAAACTACAGTCGATACTTTTATTTAAAAATTTCTTTCCTTAATACGCATATTGTAACGATTCATTAAATTAAAATAAAAGTAATTTTCTTATTTTTCGTTAGCTTCGCACCAAAATAATTATCTCGATCGTTTTAAATGTTATTATTAGACTGCGGATGTTTATGTCAATAAAATATGTCAAAATATGTAAGTGACATATGCCAAATATGTATCAATAATATGCCAAAATATACAAGAATATGCAGAATATATTCAAAATATGTTTAAGTAAGAAAATTACTTTTCATTACTTAAGCATTACTATTACTTAAGTAATAAAATTACTTAAACATATTTTGAATATATTTTGCATATTCCTGTACATTTTGGCATATTATTGATACATATTTTACATATGTCCCTTACATATTTTGACATATTTTATTGACATGATAATAATCAATTATAGTTTAAATTACAATATGTTACGCGTATTTTTTCAATATTGTCAAGAGTTAGTTGATGACGTTTATCGCTTAAAGATAATTTATAAGCTGAGAACGAACGCTGAACATTACAAGATGTGATTGGGGCATATTTGAATTTGCTGCAGTAACATGCTTTAATTGTTTATCTGCCAAGAATATTTGAAAATTACTGATTAATACTATTCGTAGCATTTACGAACTGTTACCATTAATGATTCACTATAGATAAACACGAGATGTATAAACAGCTATGTTGTCATTTCTGCCATGACTATCATAAACAAACGTTAAATTAATAGACTGAAATAGATGTTCGGAAGCCCATATAAGCATTTCGTGAAAAGAAATACAATAAACATATATGACAGATGTTTTTATAAAAAATATGTAAAATATGCAAAATAAAAAAATGTATTTTTAAGGGCCTCTAGTGATGAAACAAACTTCTATTTAGGTTTCACTCTTTTATTTATTTCCTACAAACATATGCTTTTGCATAAACATTCGCAGTCTAGTTATTATGATCTCTAGATAGGATTAATATCGAATTAAACGTTTTTCTTTTAGGTTTGGCACTGGTGCTTGCCAAACGGACGGCAATTCAGCTTCCTCTGTCCAAACGGCACCGTCTTCAGCCAGTCGGCTCGCGTCTGCGATTGGTGGTTCAAGGTGCAGCTTCCTTCGTCCAATCGATTTCTATTCTCTCGTTGCTTCGTTTCAATGTATCGTTTCGTTTGCCATAGGTCGACTGCAACGACTCGCCGAGATTGTACGGTATCAACGACGACCTCTACAGAGACGTGAACGGGAACAAGATTTAACTCAAACTGTATTCCTGTGAAACATTCGTATAAAACGCGCGTCGACGAAGGACAATTTCTGTACAGTCTCTTCGCGGCAAGGAAGCAACATAACGGAAGCAAGATTCGGTCCAACGAGTTGCGAGTTCCTAGCTTGCCGACGGAGAGAACGCGCGAACAGGGCGCTGTAATATTCTCAGACGCTAAATTCCACGCGATGGCGGCCGACCGTTACGAAGCTGCTCAAACTTGTAGATACACTTTCCACCGAAATCGATCGCACAACCGTTGTCCGTCAACCATAGAACCGTTCAAAATTAACCGCACAGTTTCGTCCGACAGACGATCCGACATTAACTCTTAATCGCCTTATAACGAACTCGATTCTTCAATAAAAACAAACAACTGATGCATTAATTTCTCTCCTGTGAATCGATCGAACGGGTCACGCTTCGATCTCGTTATCTACCATTAAGAAAGAACCGCGATTTCAGCGTCGAGAAGAAAAGAAGAGTCGAAATCCCATCGAACAATTTCTTGGCATGATTGGACAATAGAAAGTGAGTGGTCGTCGCGAGCGGCCAGTTCGATCCCTACCTTTTCCTCGTCGAATGTCGCCATTGTTAATACGTTTTTCCGTTTGCGTTTTGCATGCAAGTCCCGTCGCGGATACACCTTTTTTTCCTACGTCCGCGACGGAGTTCCAAATCATCGAAACGGATGGAGACGAGCTAGTCGTTACCGTTTCTATGGCGAGGAATTTCGATTGTTGTTGCGTAAGCAAATAGAAATTTCGGCGCAACGATTTACGAAACCCTAGCTTCCGGCCTGTTCGAATATACAATTTAAAGCGACAAGGCCAAAATCATCGAGCATCGCCGTTATTCCGATGACGTACCGTTGTGCCGACGACGTGAGCGTAATGAGAATATCTTTATTGCATTGTTGCTATTGGCGGAAGAAAAAAAAAATCGAAAAATTTGGATAGCCATCGTAAAACCCACGAGGTAACCAGAAATTGTTCAACACTCCTCGCGTTTTCTTTGTGGTATAGTTGGGAAATTGGAGGATCGTACCTGTATTAAACGTTTGCCAAACATTTTTAATCCACGCGGTTAACCAAACGTTGCCAAAACACCATCCACGTTTCCTTTACGAGCTATGTAGTTGGGAAATTGGAAGATCGTCTCTGTATTAGGTTAGACGTTTGGCAAGCATTTTTAATCCACGCGATTAACTAAACGTTGCTAAAACACCATCCACGTTTCCTTTACGCGCGATATACATAGTTGAGAGATCGAAAGCTCAATTTTGAATTCACGCGGTTGACCAAACGTTGCTCAACCTTGTCCGCATTTCCTTTACTTGCGGTATAGTTGAGAAATTGAAAGAATTGCAATATTGTGTGAAACGTTCGGTCAGGCTTTGTAATATTAGCGGCTAACCAAAAGTTGTTGAACACTGTTCGCGTTTTGTTCAGCCGTGGTATAGTCGAGGGAATAAAAGAAATTGCGATTTCTATCAGGCTATGTAACATTCACGATTAACCAAACATTTCTCAATATCGCCTCTTTTACTGATTGTATAGTTGGAAGGATGATAGATCAACCTTGGAAGGAACTGCGACTCGTATTAGGTCGGGCGTTTGGCCAGCTTTTGTAACAACTGCGGCTAACCAAACGTTGCTCAACACTACGTTTCCTTTACTCGCGGTATAGTGAGAAGAATGAAAGATCAGATCAGGCTGGAATTGCAACTTTTATTAGATCGCGTGTTCAGCTATGTAAGATCCCTGGATAGTCAAACATTTCTCAACGCTCTCCAAGTTTCTTTTGCTCGTTGTACAGCTAGGAAACTGAAAGATCAGTCCAGGAAGGAATTGAAACTTCTATTATGTTTTTTGAGCGGTTCTAAGATAACGAAAAACTGCTGAATACTCTTCTTTTTTACACGATTTATAGTTTGTAAATCAAAAGATGAGCCTGGGTATTACTATTAAGAATATTTGACGTATATTTTCTCACAGATTCATGATTTATGCTTAAAGGCTGAAAGTAAGTTTGATCAGTAACCAAAGGTTAAGTTTGATTAGGTTTCTTAAGAAAATTGAATGGTTTTTTAGGAAGAATAAGATAGCTCGATCAAAATTTCATAAAAATTACAAACAGCAACACTGTAGCAATTCTAAGATAATGAAAAACTGCTGAATTCTTCAATATTTTTTTACTCGATGTATAGTTTGAAGAATGAAAGTTGAGCCTGAGGAGAGTATTACTATTAAAAATATTTTACGTATGTTTTCTCGCAGATTCATGTGATTCGTGCTTATGTGATGAAACTACCCTTCAGATGCTTGAGGTTAGAAACCTATTTAGTCGAGGATAAAATTAAATACACAGAAAAATTGCACGGTTTTTTAGGAGGAATAAGATGATTCGATCAAAATTTCACTGTAGCGAAACAAAATATTCTTTTACCAGTATATTTGCAGATTTAAGTAAATTTGTTCGCGAATAACGAAGGAAAATTATAGATCAACTCGTAACCTAACTTCCATAAATATTTTATTCGTAAATTAGAATTGTTTTAATCAATACCTTATTGAACTTAATCTGAAATATTTATTCGTTAGTAAAATTTGCTCGACTACAATCGGGCGGCACCGTAGCCTATTATTACGAAGGAGATGCTCGAAACGATGGGCAGGATTATTAAACATTTGCATGGAACTTTCCAAGCCGACACGTAACGCGTTAATATTCCGCGCGCGTGAAAACCACGCATCAGAACGCTCCTCGAGCAGATTGCGAGCGCAAATACCACGGGCGTACCCTGTACGCCTCGTCCTGAAATTCTTCGCGATCCCCTTTCAAAGATCAGCAGGCGTGTCGCCGGAGCGGGACGTCTTCGAAAGAAGAAATTCGAAGCGACTGACATTAGACGGACGCGAAGTTTTTCTCTCGCGGGAACGATCCGTATCGAACGAATCGTTTCGTTCGATTTAATCAGTCGGAAACTTTGCGAGCTGCCGGACACGGACACGACTTCTTTTCGACAGGAAAAATTCTCAAGAAAAGGAGAACCAAAGTTATCGTCCTTGAGTTCCAAAGAAGAAAGGATCCATTGTCCTTAGAAGAAACATAAAACCCACAAACATGATTATATGTGTGTTTCGAATGTTTTCAAGTATGAATGTGTCGAGCTGGAAAAAATTGTGACGAAGTATCATTTTACATCGATACATAATGCCAGGCAAATTAATCTAAAGAAAGAATGATAGCAATTTAATGTATATTTTAAATTTAGTTGCGAAAATATAGATCATTAGGCCTTTCAGAGCGAAATGTATTTTATTTTCATTATTTTTTTGTTTAAAGACATTCGATAATTTACAAATTGCTATTTACTTTTTCGCCACGCCCACAGAAATCTTTTCTACGTTGTGGAACAATACACGCGTCTATTCCACTCCTACTCGCATAACCTGTAGATCAATAAACATGGATAAAGACAGTTTAACGCGACTTGCGCAACGGCAAATGCAAACATGCCATAATTTATGCTAATACAAATAGTATAATACTCCTATTTACAGATGTTAATTAAATGCTTTCGTAAAAGTTCAGTACGAATTCTTATGCATGATATTTTTTCGTTACAACTTATCTACCGCATTCCCTAGTCGAGATTATGATACGCGATTTTGATTTATCGTCGATGCAAAAGCGCAAAGTTCTTTTCCATCTTTCATTCTTCTTCAAACTTTTAAATCGATACGATTAGGTATCGATGATGTTTAAAGAATTTAATACCAAAATAAGAAGTACCGAATGGTATTAAAATTTGTAGTATTTGGAATTCAGTTTCGATGTAGGTACTTTTGTTATGAATACTTATTGTTAGTATATTCCTTACTCATGCATGATAAATGGTTAAGATTTGTATTAAGGCATTTTCTTAGACAAAGTAGGGCCTTCTATACATTTTAAGTATTTACTTTTCTATAACTGAAACAAAGCAAAATCGTTCCTACGTTATTTCGATTTAAATTAAAATTTTATAGCACGATTCTTTCCTTGTTTGAAACCTCGTAGCCTACTTTATAATTAATACTCCTACAAACCCAGTAGCCTATACTTTTCATGAGAACATAAAGAACAACTGAACAAAATCTGGACTGGACAAAAATATTAGGAAATTAAAAACACACAGATTTTAAAAACAAATTGATACAACTTTAGTAATTACAAAATCAAAAGTTCAACTCATTATACAGGACGCCCAAAAAGCTTGGGACCAAATTTTCTTGGATGTTCCCGAGATTAAATAAATAAACAAAATTTATATAAACTTATGCCTGAAAATGATTGAATGATTTATTTATTGATAAGATATAAGCTTTTAAAGATATTTATGATTTATTATGGCAATTATAAAAAATGTTCAAAAATTTCATTCGTCGAATTAGCGATTGTCAAATTCTTTCAAATATTCCATCAGTATTGGAAATAATAATAAATGCATTTTGAATATATTTGAATGTGACCTCATAAAAAAAAGACGAATTTTGCCCGTAAATTGTTGAACGCTTACATTTTTTCAATAAAGCATTTTCGGGCATAAGTTTATATATGTAATTTTTTCAACTATTTGATAAAAAAAAATAATAAAAATTTACAAAAAAACGGTACTTTAAATTTTAAATATCGGTTTCCTTGAATTTTTTCATATTTAGGGAGTTAAAAAAACAATAAGGATAATTCTTCTTTTTATAATTTTGGTTTACAGCATAATCACAATCATACTAATAAAAAATCCTTTTGAATTTTTAATTTCAGATAAGCAGAATGAATAAGACACTTTCTTTTATAAGAACCCTGTTTAATGGCATATAATTCAGTCAGTTTTGATTATTTGAGCTTAAAAAAATTATGCACATTTGTAAAATATAAATAAATATGCATACAAAATGTCGAAATTAAGAAACTTATATTTTATATATTTTACAAGGTCTAATATTTTATATTTTATAAAGTTATATATTTATAGGGTTTGTAAGGCCCACAATATTTATACTCATGCAGCTTATTTCATATAAAACAATTCTCTAAACGTATTCATCAACATTTATTAATTTATTTAACAATCCATCGTTCATCCCTGATATTCAGTTTCTTCTCAGACCTCTCTTTTAATTTATTCACTACACGGTCCTCTTCTTTGTATCGTTTTATTATACATTGAACTGTGCTTCTACTTCGATTAATAATTTTACTAATTTCATTATAACTTTTTTTGTTTTTGTAGTGATAAATAACTAATTCACGCTCCGCTTCTACAATCTGTCGCATTTTAAGTCTATTTTATTGATTTTTTGGCAGAACAACGCATACAACAATCAGAATGCTGCTAAATCAGCTAGATTTAATCGTTGCTAAACATTGTTAGATAAAAAACAATTGGGAATTCACCGAATTTCCAATGTTACCAACAGTGACAGCTAAGTTTCATACGCAACCTCAAATTTTATATAATTTACTGAGTACTACTAAAGGTTTTATAGTATTGTTGTTATATATTAAATAAAGAAACATTACACTATATGCCTCCATACGAGTTTCAATAATTTAGTACAATTTTCATGTTTTATTGAAAAAATATCGGTTGAACCGCTAGGTGTACGATTTTGAGTGACAGTCGCTGTATATTGTTGAACTGTCTTTTACAACAGATTCAAGTTGCAATAGTTTGGTGGATATCGATGGACTGCGACCCTTTTAGCGAACAGCCAATCGACTCACAGCGTCGATCACTTTTTTAACCCCTTGACGTACAATGACGAGTCTGACTCGTTACAAGTTCCCGATGTCAAGTTCCACAATCATAAAGCTACTCATTTGTCATCAAGTCTTATTGTATATTACTGTATATTCATGAGGTAATCGTAAAATAAATTTATTCTTTTTCGTGGCCATTTCATTTGGAATTAAATCATACGTCAAGGGGTTAAACGGCGCTGAAGTGAAACGAATGTCACTAAAGAAACTTTTCTAACAGTTTACGACATGTTTATATTTGTAATAAACTTATATTGTTGAAATGTCTTTTACAAGAGATTCAAGTTGCAATAGTTTAGTCGATATCGATGGACTGCGAACCCTTTTAGCGAGCAGCCAGTCGACTCGCAACGTCGATCAGTTTTTCAAACAACGTTCGATTACGAAATGATCGTCGCGCAAGCGTCACGGGAAGCCGAACTTCCTATTTCTAAACAGCCTGTGGCTTCGTCGTCCAAGATAGAGACGGGGAGAAAACGCATCGCGCGCGATCCTTATCGATTAATAAGATCCCCGAGGCTTGATGTTTCGAGTCGCGGGCCTCGTCATTTTTGTCCTCGTCGATGTCCTTTGTCGACGGAATCTCGCGTCCCACTTTCACTTCGTTTCTTGGATCGATCTTTCGAAAATTATCGAAACTATCCGGGTAGAATACGCTCAGTGGGTTCGGTCGTTCCGAAAAGACCGCGACTGCTCGAGGAATCCCCTGAAGGCGCCGCGAGACCTTTTCGATCGCTCGAGATCCGTCCACCCTTTGTCCGGATTGGACCAGAACGTCGAGGGCGAAACAAAAAAAGTTCCTAGTAAAAGCAAGGCTCGATCAAAGACTGTCCATAGAGACGGCCTTCTGACGCGTCGCTCGAGAGTCAAGTTTGAAAGGTTTCGCGATGCGTCGCGTCGATTCGCACGGCGTTCGCGTCGTCTATCAGGTGGCGATGCAGGTGCCTTTCGCTCGCCGGGGCCCGGATTTTTCGCGAGTCTACGCCAATGGGGGCCCGGTCCGGACGCCTATGGCTGTCCGAGCCCCCTCCTCGACCTTATCCTCGCTCGTAGAAAGCTCGACCAGACGACGCTGGTCGGAGCACAACGCTCCTGCTGCTGGCTTTTCCACTTCCATCGCGCAGTCTTCTGGCCGGACCCGACGCGGTCTTGCCCCGAACCTACGAACGCAGTGATTTCGCTCAACGATACAGCCATCGGTTCTCGAAAACCGCCCCCCGGTGTACGAGTTCGAGTGCCCTTTCAGGATCGTTCGCTGCCAGAGACGTAATCGTCGCGGTGTACAGGTGTAAGACATTATAATAATCGAGTGCGCCTCGATGTGAGGACGGTGCTTTCATGAGGGATTAACAAAGAGGTATCACCGGAGCTGAGAGAGACAGGTCAGTGTTTAACCTATCGATCCGAAGAAACTGTCGCCGTGAAACTTTGAGAAATCGCGTTTTCGTTCGTTTAGGGAGATCGCAATTTCGATTATACTCGGTGCGACCAAGGGGGGAATTTACGAGATTATCGCAGCGAAAGTAGCAGCAATTCGCTCGCTATTTATACTAGCGAATGTTGCCTTCCGCGGCGGCGCCGCGTCGAGACAGCCGAACGAATTTTGGATTACTTAAGCGGCGCTAATCACAGTGATTTATTCGGACAGAGACGGTCGTAATCGTTATCTTGCCCGCGGTCAGAATGTCACATCGTTTTCTTACTATGATCCCTCCGCCACGTAAGCGTACCAGGCGACTTTTAAAACACCGTGTACCTCGCGGCCAGTGAAACTGCTCGAAAGAACTCACTACGCCCGATATAGTCGAAAAAAAAGAGAAGATTGGAAGCGTAACGCAACGCTCTGGTATTCAGACACGCGAAATTTTCGTAAGAAGAGAAAACAGCAAGACCGCGACGAACCACGCTGCCAGCGGTCGAAACGCTTTTCTCCCAATCCCGCGACTCTGTTTCACTCTGATTCGATGATGAAAATTCACTCAGGAACGCGGGACACCTGCGCTCGACGTTAAGCGGAATACACACAACGAGATCTGTCACCAGACTATCAGATCGCAAGTCTGAAACGTGCTGTGTACCATAATATTTGTAGAAACAAAGGTTTTCGGTCAGTATCTTGTCGTGTGTATCTAGCTTTATATTTACGATCCCATATAGTTATTTACATGTCTCGGAGTGTGTAACGTGCTTAAAAGTCGAATGCATACTAGATACTCATGTTTTAACGTAAGTTTATTTAGAAAATTGTATTATTATTTCCAGTACAAGGTTTCTAGTTGAATTTTTGCGTTATCGTATTTGTCGTCAAAAAATCAAGACTCGCGACTCTGGAAGAAATAGTTTATATGAGTCTAAATGGACCCTTTGCTCGGTGTAAAATATGATGTAAAAAATATTTTGTGCATTTATTTCTTGTTAAACTGCTACCAGGCCAGGGTAACAGCATGTATGGCTCGGCAACAATAGCATCTACCTGAGAAAGCTTATCCGACCAGGACTTGAGCGCAAAATATATTCGAAGGTCGCGTAATAAACATTCTCTTCCCGGTACAGTTAATTCTCGTGAAATTGAAATTTTTCCACAGACGTTGCAACACGAAATAATATGGAAACTATTCGTTAACTTTATTTGTATTCAAGTATGACGTCTTTCTTCCTCGAAATCGTACACTTTCAGGATATAAGTTTCTGCTGAACGCACGATCTATTTTACGATGGAAGATTTTCTTAATAAAATTACGTTAAAATCTGTGTAACCGGTTCTCCGTAGTATGGTGAAATAAAAGCGATCGGGCGACAAACGCGTACGCGAATGTAATCGTGAAAGGACGATCATGCGGAGCGCGTGCTTCAGGATGAAGATAAAGGCGCCAGAACTTTCGCCAACATCATCTCCTCCTTTCGAAAGAGACGTTTTTACACCTTCGGATGACAACGAAAGCGAACTGGTTCTATCTTCGAATTCGCCGTACGCCCGACTTTCCACTCATCTTTTTCCTTTCGGGGAGAAAAAAAGGAGCGCAACTCCTACGCCTGGTCGTACGCTCCGCGATATTTAATAAGGTGAAAGGAAAAAAAATACCGGTAGCACGTTTGCCGCGCGGTACCAGGCCCGATTATATCTTTCGCATCGAATACCCTTTGATATAACTAAGAAATTCAAGAAATAGGATAAGCGTTCTTCAAAGTGTATTCCTTCGAGCCCTTGAAGATCCTTGAGATCTGTATATAATGCAAGGATAATGAATTCAATTTCATCAATAACCCGAGAAACTGATTAAAATTGAAAAAAAACTCAATAGATTCTTTATTCAGACTTTTATATTTATTTTTTTCTGAATTTATTTACTTCAAGTTTTCAATCATGCTTCCTTTTAGAAATATACAGGATGGCCTATGCAACTTGTGCACCTCTACATATAACTTCCAAAGTATGCGTTGCTCAAAAAAATTTTGTATAAAAAAGTTGCATGTTTTCAAGGGGTACACCATATAGTGCATTTGTCTTTTTTATAGATGAAAGCGTTTCGGAGATTTGAATGTCAACCTTCTTTTTTTAAACGAAATACTATACCTTTTATACCAAAATATGAAAGAATATCAAACTCGGAGTAAAAGTGTTGATCTGTATTAGTCCTAAACCTAATAACTAGACTGCGGATCTTTATGCAAATTCACATTTTTATTAATAGAATTAATGAAACGGAAGCTTCGCAGAGGGCTGTCTCAACCCCTAAATATAATAATTCGTATCTTACTTTAAGTATTTCTTATATTTTTGCATATTAAATGCATTCTGTAGCTTTTTGAGGATTAAAATTTCCCATAAATGCATAAACATCCGCAGTCTACTAATAACTAATGAGTAATTTCACTTTATGATTACTCACTGTGAGTAACTATTATTATAGGTAAATCCGTTATACAGTGTGGTCTATGCAACTTGTGCATCTCTATAACTGTGAGTAATTTCACTTTATTTATGTAAATTTTTTTCACGTAATATCAAATTGGAGACTCAACCTTATCACAGATTTCTACAGAACAGTGATAATTGCCAAGAAATAAAGTGAAATTGCTCACAGTTATAGAGGTGCACAAGTTGCATAGACCACCCTGTATAGCGGATTTACCTATAATAATACAGTAAGAAACATAACAAATCATTAAATCGATGAGTTAAATAAGGTTTCCATTTCTTTCTGTTATATTTTATTGTACTATTTAATGTTGTTAAGTGGCTGTTTGCTAGTATTTTTTTTGTTTCTTTGTTTTTGATATTTTGTTAATGCATGTTCGATCGTTTGAGTCGGATTGCAATTTTCGAAAATTTTATTCAGTCTTATCACAAGCTAATCGAAGTTTAAAACTTAAATTCAATTGTGAACGTTTTAATAATGACATTTCCTTATGTTTTGTTTTACGTTTCCCGATTAAAGCATATTTTCTTGCGAATTTAGAATAATTACAATCAATTGCCTTCAGTTCAATCAAATACAATTACGAGAAAATGACTCAAAAATAAGTGGCAAATATTATGACCGAATATATTCATTAGCTAATGATATAATGTAATGGGTTGCTTCGGTCGATAAAAATTATTACGTAAACAATATGTTATTTTAATTTTCGAGTGCTGAAATAATTCGTAAACTAAAAAGTACGATAAGATTATCGAGAATATAGGGTATTGGAAAAGCTACAATTATTGATATGAAAAATATCTTCGAAACGTTCGTGCCATTAGAAAAACGGATCACGTGGTTAGCCTGAGGCAGAAAATAAGTTTAATTTCAGGTAGTTTCACAATGTAAAAAAACTTGAGTGATTTGGAAGAGTTGAAAGTATCATTCCCTGTCATTAATATTTATATTATTCTATTTAAAATATTGTGATGAATGATAGAAAATTAAGTTAGTCTATAATCCGAAAATTTTCTTACTCGAACAGTTTTGCTTCACTATTGACGCGGATAATAAAGCGGATACTATAATTACAATGGAGAGTGAAAGGAGACTGAGTTGATGTGGGTACTCGTAAAAGACAAATTAATAAGCACACAGCGTGTCGTGTAGATAAAAGAGAACCGCGACCCTCGAAACACGTTTAATGTACCATAGCAAACGTTAACATTTCCACACGTACGATTTGTGCACCTGGATTTGCTACAACTCGTCATTATTATTATTCATTTATTAACAGGAAAAATCCTTTAGTCCAAAAAGAAGTAATATGTAAGGAACAACAGAAAAAATATTATCATTTACAAATGGCCATAGAACAGAATTTGGAAACAATATATTGAGTATTTCGAAGTTATATAAATAATTAAAAACATATACAATTTTTTACTTTATACGATTATACTTATTGCGCGTCAATGTTAGGCAAAAATGATTTAGAATAACGAAGAGAAAGATTAAATTCAATTTATTCGTAACTCATGAATAACGAATAAACTAATTAGTAAAATTGTTGAATAACCAATAAATAAAATAGAATTTTACATAACCATAGAAAATGCATTAACTTTAAAATATCAAGTTTTTGGTTTAACTTTCACTTCTATGAACCAAAAGTTACTTCAAAATAAATGTATCTTTACTAAAATAGTAAATGGTGTATGTTATGAACAAATCTAAATTGTACACACAAAATGAACAAAGATTTTCGGCTTAAAACATTATTAACTATTCCAAATGAATAATGGCCTCACAGTAAATTGTATTTTTAATTTTTTTATACTACTAAGGAGAACGTAATTAATCACTTTTTTAAATTCTTAAAGAGAGTTTTATACTATGTCATTAGTTTATTACGATTATGACAATTAATTTTCTTATATTAAATCTACTTGAATCTTCTTGCCCAAACGTTTGAAATCTTTATAATTCTAAACTTTTTACTTAATTTCATAATACGTAATGATTCTTTTAATTACTGCAAAATTAAGAAGTATTTGTGATAGACAGGCAAATTTTGAACTTTTGTGTATTTATATGTAATATGTTTTAAAAGGATTCGCACGACTTCGTTAGCCGATGATTATTTATTTCGAAACAATGGATACCCTTTTTTCCAACTATATTTCGCAAAAAAGTTGGCCAAATTAAATTCACGAATAATGAATAAAAATGTTACATTCTTTCGTGTCTTTCGCAAGCAGATTCGCTCAACTATATGTGTATGTCAACGTAAAAAATCCGTTAATGGATTCTAGTTTACATAAAAGTTTATGAATGAAACGTAAATGGAAGACAGTTTGTTATTGTTAAATCGAGTATTCTCGAATCGTGCATTTAAATTCCATTTAACCCCGGATACTACATTTTTCTCAATTAATTTGTTTTATTATTCAGATAACAATGTGCGTGATACTAAA